TCCCTAAAAGATAATTTGATTTACTCCTATTAGTCTTAAAAATGATCAACCCTAAGAGATCATTTTAATATTGTAAATTTAATACTGCTAAAAGCCTACTTACCATTATATCTTGTTTTATTTTCTTGATATTCGAATAATAATCGATTATTTTGTCGATCAAATGGACATATATACTTAACAGTATTTGAGGTGATAGACTTACCCCCACGCGGTGCGTAACCTGGGCAACGTATACTCATACGGCAAAAAAGTCTATTAACCGGCATTTGACTTCAAACTACCCTGTTCCGACTCTATGTCATATTCGACCCCTTTCACAGTACTCATCTTACCTTTTCTCTGCCTTTGTGACTGTCTGTCTCCTTTACATCTGCAAACCACCCTTCTGTTCCCCCTCTCGACTATTTCTTACTTTGATATTCCTCTCTTTTGTGAATCCCGAAGTCAACTAAAGGGCTAGTGATAACTATCTAAATGGCTGCCATTTGAAATATATATATTTTTTGTACTTAAAATAACTTCGAGTACACTCCATGTAACACTCTCGTTTATTAGCAAATGAGAATGCGGATAAATTTACGTTACAGAAGAAAGCCCTGTGCAACTGGTGTTAACGAATTCCTTAAAGTCCCTCCCTTTTAAAGGGTATCCAGATATAAAGTCAATAATATAAAATGCCTTCTTCAATTTGACTCATGCATTGAGTGCCATTTTAACGCAAATAAAAACACTCAGAAAAAATATTCCAACTAAGTCATCATTTTGCCACGATTATAGTCGGCACATGATACTTTGAAGATCGGAAGAACACACAAAACCTTAAACCAACAGAATTTTCGCTTTGAAGAAAGAGGTTTTTAGCCTATTTCTAGTGTGAACCAAGCAAAATGGCGGATTTGTGTTAAGATTTCATTGTAGGAAAATACTTTAAGTTTGGGCAAGAATAGACCAATAGGGAAACGAGGGAAGGGCGATAAAGGAAAGGGACGAAAGAGGTGTCTCATTTGATCATTAGATTGGATTTGTTGAATATTACTTCAACTGGTGCAGTTCAAAAACCACAAACTTCCAATTCCTACTTCGGATAACAAAGCAAAGTCTTTCCCCAAATTTTTATCTATTTATATCAAATGGCAGGCGTTTTGAGGGTTATCATTAGCCCTTTAGTTGACTACAGGCTTCACAGATGGGAAGGAACATCAAAGTGAAAAAGCTGAGAGGAAGGGGGGGGGTAACAGAAGAGTGCTTCAAAGACGAAGGTAGAAAAGGTAGAAAAAAAGAGAGGTGAGTACTGTGGAAGTGGTTGAATATGACATACAGTGGGGTGATGGTAGTTTGAAGTCAGAAGTCAACTGCCAGTTAATAAACTTTTTTGCCGTATGAGTATACGTTGCCCAGGTTACGCACCGCGTGGAGAGGTAAGTCCCAAATCTACAGTGCTAATTGCCCAATTGTAATAATTACCTTTATCGCTTTGAATCGTTTCATCTCTCGAGGGCTGAAAACAAAATTTTAGTGGGTGTTTTGTTTAAATTTAACAATGAAAAGTGTATTGGTGAGTATGTATGAAATCAGTAAATTAGATTTTTCGAACGAATGGGGCTTATTTTACTGTAATTACTTTAACATAAAGGACATTTAGTTGGTAGGTCAATCGACAAATACTAGACGCCTGTCGCTTTATTCCAAATGCAGCAAATAATTGATATTTTGTAAAAGTCAACTGGTATATGCTCACTTGTTCTTGTTTATCATCCAAATAGCAGATCTTGAAATATTCGCCGAGCTTATAAATTTTACCACTAACTAGTCAATAAGCTTAGATTTCCAGAATGAACTATTAAAGCACTCATTCAATTAGAATTTTCTCATTTTTCTCCGAGCTGTCTCTTCTTAATTTCGTTCAACCCTTAAGGCTCACTTGAACTTATTGACTGTTTTCAGGTTTTGCTCTATCTTTGTACTATCGAGCCGAACATTCTGGTGTAGCTGATCAGAATTCACAAGCACCCGGTTAATCGATTTCCAGTTTTTGGAAGTGACTTTATACAGATATAATATCGTCAGTAGATCAGTTCCATGTATTTTAATTCCTGCAGGTTTGATTGATAAGTACATTTAAAAATCTAACGTAGTTTATGTTTTATTTTCCCTCTTTATTAGCTAATTTAAAAATCAGGTGTCGATTCAATAATGAAAAAAAATTCCAAGACCTTTTTCAGAACTAGTTTCTGATAAATGTTCAGCAACAAAGAAAAATGATTTTTTCTTCTTAGGGATTCTTTTGTATTTAAAGCATAGGTCTCATTTAATTGTAAATAGCGACATATTATGCCCTGGACCCTGCGCCCAAACGCATTTCAGTAATTCTTAAGTATTATTACCATAACCTGTTCATCGGTAGACCAAATCTAAATTTCGTATTACAGCAGGAATTTCCTCGGTTGAGTAATTTTAAAAAATAGGTATTTATTAATTATTATAAGAAGGAAGCTGATATTCACTTCAAATAGTATATCATGGTAAAACGTGTTCATAATATTTTCGCATAATTTGGAAAAACAAGCAAAAAAATCCTTCCTTTCCAAGGTTATCGCATAAACCAATGGAAAGTGAGATGCCAATTGTAGATTTGGCAAGAGCGACGCGCGGCATAGCCAATGTGCGTCCTCCTCGCTGCCTCCAGCTAATCAAAATGCGCGACTGACACGGGTTGCAACTACGGTAGCCATTTAAACCAATCAGCGTACTTCCGAGATATCTTACCCCCTAGGTGCATTTGAAACTGTAGTTTAATACGGTAATCACAAGTTTATTTAACGTCATGACGGTTGGCTTCGGTATGGATCTTGACGAGGAATCAAAAAATACTGGTGAGTGAACACATTTGTTTAAGTAGATGCTGCAAATTTTAAATATTCTTCTTTCAAGAAATTTATATTAAATGCCCTTTATATGATATTTTAAGGAATTTGTCCTCATTCACAGTAAATGAAATAATGCTTATTTTTGAAAGTCGACATTAAGACTCCTCTTCGTTATTTTAATAGCTTTTCAATTAATTAAATATATACCCTTTTCTCTATTAATTTGCTTATTTAAACTCTGATTAGAAAGAAGAAGAAGAAGAATATTTCTCAACTGCCTCATTCCCCTTAAATGACAATATTCCGTTTTTTTCATAAGCACTCGGCTAGTATATCCGTCTTAATTATTTCCAACATTATTAAAAAATGAACAGATTCCATATTTGGGGGAAGGGGGGGGGGGATTTATTGGCTTCTGAACAAAAACGTTGTTTTTTTTGCACGTTTGCCGTTCAGTGGATAATAAAGTGATATCTTTGCATGTTACCACTTCCTTGTTTTTTGTAAGACTAAGCACCTTTTGGAGCTGGAATTTAAGGACGGATTTAAATTTATTTATATGCCAAACGCATTTCGGAGGTGATTTTATGGCTTCCCGTTGAAAAGTTAGCTGTTTGGAAAGAAACTAACAGAGGTTGGTTGTAGGATTTAATAATAATTGAAATCATTCTATCATGAAAAAATATTTTTTAAAAAAAAGATCTTTTTTGCGCTGGCTCGTCTTAGCATTGAAAGTGTAATGCAAAAAATAGAGCTAGATTAAACAAATAATTGATGGATAGTAACTTAAAAATGGGTGACAAATTTGTTTAAATTTTTCCAATTAGTAAGTACTTGGATCACCTCGTCATCCCTAATCATTTACCATCGGTATCACCTGTTGAAAATGATTTTTTTTATACAATTCTCACTCAAGTGAAAAGTGATTAACGAGGTGTCAGAAGGGAATGGGTCGAATTCCAGACATATTTGACATACAGTGTGTCGGGCATTCAATTTGCAGAGGGGCTATCAAAAGTGGAGAGAAATCAAAATTAGCACACCAAGAAGTGGATTTTCAAGCTTAACCTGCTTCCAAAATTCGCCAATATGCGTGACTTTAAGTATTGGTTGCAATGAGGAGAATGTCCTACTCCTTAAATTCTGTCCAATTTTGCTTTTATCAATGCACATTCATCGTGACAACAGCGAGAGCCATGTTAGGTTGTATTGTGATCATCTCCCATTGGGTGGATAAATAGAAATAGGTGGTGGATAGATTTTTTTACTAATTAAGTCGTAGCCTCCTCACAAATTTCCGCCTGTCATGGCTCGAATAGAATTGAAGGGGAGGTGGGGGGGGGAGGGAAGTGAGAGTGGGGAGTAGATAAGCGCAACAGACTTGAGGAGGAGGAGGAGGGGGAGGGGAAGGGTAGATAAAACCGCTCACTCAGTTTACCGCCAACGCCACCACACAATCAAGCGCCTTTCCATTAGGCTAATTAAAGTCTATCAGGTGGAGTTAATCAACTCTGTGGCCACAGACAGGCTACCTGACCTCCAGTCCGCCTCCTCTCCTTTAAACCCCAAAAAATGTTCTATCACTTAAAATCTAATTCTAAAATTCCCCATCTTCTCCCCATAGGTTGCATGGAACTCCAGCCCACCACTGGACCGGAAATATCAATGCCAGTGGTAATTACGACAGAACATGACATCGGAACTCCCTTTTCTCATCAAGAGGAAGCTGTGTGTTTCGGATGTGGGTCAGTAATTTACGATCCCTTCATAATGCACGTACAACCCGATCTCAAATGGCATGGACGGTGTCTCAAGTGCCACAAATGTGAACGAGGACTCTCAGATCAAACCTCTTGTTTTGTGCGCAATGGAAAAGCATACTGCAGGGAGGACTACTGCAAGTACGTTTGGGTTTGCGTTAGTTAAATTGCCGCCTTCTTTTAAATACCCAGTTTAATAGTAGTAGGCAAGCTCATTTTTTTACAAATATTTTGTTACATTACTTACGTCTCATGTTGAGGAATGGGGCATTATATGTATGGGTGGGGCGTGGGGAGTGGGGAGTGGGGGGGGGGGGGGGGGGGGGGGGGGGTAGGTGAGATAGGAGAAAAAATGCATATCACGAGGACCGGAGGGGGAGGGGGAGGGGGTGATGAGGAACTAATTGTCTAGAAGGTGTTAAAAATCCAAATCTGCACGTGCGAGACTGGATATATGATTTTTGAATATAGCGGTGGCGGGAGTTCGACATGATTTGTGGAAATCTAGGTGGGAGGCCCAGTGGGATCCCACTGTCTCCGCTTGTCAATTATGTTACCTTAAACATTCCATCCTCCTATTTGGGGTGATAAATGTAAATCCCGTGACCCCGCATCATCTTATCTGCAGCTGTAAAAAAGAATGTGTCCGGTCTATCCATGGCACATTTTGAAAGAATAACTAATGGATAGAGGGGCCAACCAGTTCTCAGTCGCAGATCTGCATATTATTGTTGTTTCGTTATTTAAAGAATTTATTTATTCTATTTATATCAAATGGCAGGCGTTTTGATAGTTATCATTAGCCCTTTAGTTGACTTCAGGCTTCACAGATGGGAAGGAACATCAAAGTGAAAAAGGTCGAGATTGGGGGGGGGGACAGAAGAGTGTTTCAAAGATGTAAAAGGGACAGACATGAAGTTGGAAAAAAGGTGAGATGAGTACGGTTGAAGTAGTCGAATTTGACATACAATGGGGTGATGGTAGTTTGGAGTCTGAAGTCAACTGCCGGTTAATAGACTTTTTTTGCCGCATGAGTATAAGTTGCCCAGGGTGCACCACATGGAGGTGAGTCTATCACACACCCCATTTAAAGAATTATTTTTGACTTGATTTTGAAAATCCACAAGTTGAGTAGACAGAAACTGCATTTTGACTTCGAATAATATTCTTATCAAAAGGTGAGCCTTGAAAAAGGTTGGTGGGTATGTCATTCTGAGAGAAAATGTGAGGCTGCTAATGCAGATTCACATTTTGGCAAACATATAGGTTTGGTTTTATAGGTACAGTGGATCAACGCTCACAGCCAATGCAACTAGTTAGCTTAAAAGAACAGTTAATTTGAACAGTTTTAGTTTTTTAATTAAAACATTAGCAAACATTGGCGGAATACAGGAGCGCCAGTAAAGCAGAGGTGATAGCACTAATTCTCACAAAACATGTTGCTCTTCTCCCTTATCGCGTTGAAATCAAGTAGCATTAATGGAGGATATTCACTCTGTTCTAGGAGAGAGAGAGAGAGAGTCCATTGGAAAAGGATTCGTGGGGGGAGGTGGGGG